CAGTGCGTTCAGAAATTTGGACACCTCGAACTTCCTGGAGAGCTGATGAATAAACGATTAACAGGATGGGACCAAGAATGCGCCCTTGTGGGACGCCGGCTTGTATTGACCTGATATAGGTTATTCCTTGTCGCACGTCAGTTTTAAGCGGCGACCTGTTAAATGTGATTCCACGATAGCAAGGAGTGGATAAGAATCGTTAAAGTTTATGTCGAAAGCTTGGGCCACATCCAGAAAGGAACCCATCTATTGTTTCAATGAAAAGAGCATGTATCTCCAAGAAAAATAAGGCTTTTACAAATAGAATGAAAATTCCCCCTGTACAAATTCTACATGTCAGTTACCTAGGAAGGAAAGTGAACATGGAAAAGAAGCTGGAAAGTATTGAAAAAATCAATGGGAGATTATGGTGGAATTAAATTAAATTAAAATGTCAAAGAAAAAATTGTATACGGACAACAATGTAATATCACTTATTAGACTGTATTTACCATAGAAAATAGTGTTACAACCCCTACTGCTGGAAATAGTCAACAGAGGATAATACAAATGTATATTACATAACATAAAGACCACATGTAAACTAGAGCATGCTTCTGTGGTAAAGCATAAACGCTTTGGCTTCGGGTTGACTTTCTTTTAAGGATGGAGGGGTAAAAAGTACAGATCAAGAGCTCATTATTTGTTTAAATTTTCGTAACCTGATCTCGACCGGCAAACTCTTGTTGGTTTAACAAACTGCTCCGCAACCTGAAAATACTTTCCTGTAAAGCTGTTTCTAAACCCCTCTCCAAAAAGAAGAGAACTCTGTGGGATCAGCCACTGGTTTTTTCCACCCTTAAAATAACTTTTTATAAAAGTAAAAGTTGTTTGCTAAGTTCAGTATTGATGGAGGTTTTTTAAATATGTACATGTATTACAAGAAATTACCCTTCGAACCACCCCTTACACACAAACCTTGGCCGTTGAAGGACGAGTTTTGAGGATTTGTAAAATATTTTAACCCAGTGGATACATTGAAAAAACTGTCTCGCTGATTGTCTATTGACCACAAGACTTAAAAGATTTATCAGAAGACCCTCTCTTAAGAGACTTATAAGAAGACCTTCTCTTTCCACTACGCCACATCCCTAAAACTCTTCACGTCACCTCGAATGTCGACGGCACTCCTCGCCCTGAATCCGAACAATGGAGCTCCTCCACAAGAGAGTATTGCAGTACGTTCCTCGATGTTCGATAGGGTCTTGCTACCCAAGCATCATCTATAAACTTAAACAATTCCTATTTAACTGGCTGCAGCTTAAAAATGAGTTGCGACAAGAAATACACATATATCAGGCCAATACAAGTCGGCGACCCTCATGGGAGCATTCTTGGTCCCATTCTTAACAAATTTAAATTTTTGACATTTCTATGCTTTCATAATACTATCTAGGCGGATGATACAGTATTTACTTGAAAATAAAGTTTTGTCCTTTACTGGACATCATCATATTCAAGGTTCTTACTGCGCCGGTAACCTCACTTACACCAACCTCAACATTTCTCTTGTCAACGAACTGATCTAATCCCGCTGTTCGCTGTCCTATCACTGTCTGAGTCCTGCCTTCTCCAATTGCAGAAGTGAATTTGTCAGTCTTGGTTAGGGTTGTTTTAGCATAAGTTTACTATGGCGCTAGAGTTTATCAACTTTTTTTAGTTTTGATGTGATTTTTTACATGCTAATGCTTTAATGGCTGCTGGCTATACAATTTTATGGGGATTCTTTTGCCAGTATAACTTCTTTTAAGAATTTCTAGAGCACAAGCATTGATGGCATGTATTTCTGCTTGAAAGCTTACGTGTACTTCCCTAATGAGTTCGATTGCTCATTTTGGAAAACACCTGATCCGTTTGTTTTGATGCCATTTGTATACCATATCGTTGTATCTGATGCTCTGCTGAGTTCTTCCTGTCGTTTAGAGTCTATTGAGACTTTATAGAACGTCGTAAAGAATGTTTACGGGATCATATTAGTCAGTACCCATTTCTAAGATTGGGCGTCTGATTTTGTTAATTATGGCTGTGTGCTCGAATTGTTTAGTTCCCATTCAATTTGATTTGTGTTTGGAACCCAAATGACCTTTTCCTAGCTTCTCCTTGTATGAATGTTTCCAGTGGAAGAAGGCTTAGCAGAGTTTCTAGTGCACTCGTTGGGGTTGTTCTCATTGCCCCCGTTATACATAGGTTTGCTAATCTTTGTATGCTGCAGCAGGTTCTATCAGTTATTTCAGTGATGTAACCATTGCTTCAAAAGGAGGGTTATCAACAGCTATTACTTGGTTGTTCTCTGAATTTTCTATTTCTACTGTTATTTGGTGTAGGATTGATTCACAGGATTTTCCTTTCTGGTAGGCATTGATGAAGGGATTTTTCTTTATACTTCGCTTACATGTTTTTCCACTAGCCTTTCGAGGGTTTTGAGTAGAAAGGATGTTAGACCGATCGGTTTGTATGATTGTACATCTGTATTGTTTTTCCGAGCGGCCTTCGGATTAAAGACTACTTTTACAGTTTTCCATCCATTGCCAGGCAGTTTTGGTGTATTTTTACAAGAAGAGGGATTAGTGTTATTTTTACCCTCGGTTCCTGAAGATTTGAATGGGCTGAAGTCATCAGTGACCCTTGGTTCTTCGGCAAGGATTTTGTGGAGTCTACTTGCTTAATTGGTTTTTTCAACTTCATTGTAATATTTCCTCCGCGATAGTATAAAGAACAATTAGTAATATCTACAGGATACAAATAAATATTTAAAAAAAAAAGATAAATTGGTGTAAATATGTAAAAGCCTCGCCTTGGAATTTCGCGTGATCCCAACGTCCAGGGATAAAATAAAACAAAAAAAGAAGCAATTCGAGATGTTTGTGTGAAGTCGTGACATAGCGATACAAAAGGGGGAGTTGGAAAAAAGGCATTTTGTGGGGAAGGCGAAGTGGTACGCTGTTGGTTCTTATCTGCCTTCTAGCCCAGCTCACTTCTATCCCCGAACACGAGGTAAATCTATCGGATGAGATACCCTCTTCTACGTTCCCCTTTTTACCTGTACTTTCTCCCGTAACAATAAACCAATTAATCAGGAGATAGTAAATTAATTAAAACCGATGAAACGCTACCCCGAAAGGTTTTATTAACCGGAATGTTCCTTATTTATACGTTTATAGCTCTGTCTTTGAACAAGTACAACCTTGAGTGGACTGACAGGGTATAAATTTATTCAAAATTTATTGAGCTTTACTAGATTGCCCTTTAATTACAACTAGAGTCGTTTCCATGTTGCAACTGTTCAAACACTTCCCACACAGGTAATTAAAGTCAGTGCTAATTCTACAATAAACGTTTCAGACCTGACAAACGTTACAAATGATGGTGTCCAACAATTAAACGAACTATTTAATTATACACAATGCTGCTTTTAGGTTTTAGGTCGACGAGTTGCACAATATAAATCAAGAATTGTTTCGTGCACCGTTGTGCAACCAACATTCAAGCCCCCTTCGACGATAAAGCCCTTTTCTAATGGCATTGCGCGAAATATGTTGTACGCCGGCCGGTTCCAAATGTGACAAATCAATTCTAGCGCAAGGAATTGACGCGTGCGGAAGGTCAATTAATTAACACGAATTCCATTGAGGCGTTTCAGTTAAATTGACCGGAACGCGGCGGAACCGAAATGTGTTTTTATGTGATTTTTTAAAATAAATAGTCAACACGCATCTTTATTACTTCCTCCAGTCGAATAATCAATAAAATACGATATTTCTAATTTTGCGGTAACTTCACATAAGAAATTTTGAGATCCTAGGATCTGCTTTTGTGGGGCAATGGGCCTATAGTGTCGTCGTTTCCGGTCATTTTGGTCTGCCATCTCGGCCAAAAACCTAACTCGTCCCCCTTACCCTAATTAACTCAAACATCACCTAGCCTAACTCTTCCTAACCTAACCTAGCTTAAGCCGTCACCAGCCCCAATTAACCCTAACACCAACTAGCCTAACCTTTCCTAACGCAACCCGTTACTAACCCTAACATCACCTAGCCTAAGCCGTTCCTAGCCCTAATTAACCCTAACATCACCTTTCCTAACGTACTCGTTACTAACCCTAACCACATTTCCTAACGTAACCCGTTACTAACCCAACATCACCTAGCGTAAACCGTTCCTAACCCTAATTAACCTCAGTTAATCCAACCATTCTTAAACCAACCTGTCCCTAAACCTTCCTAACCTAACCAGTTTCTAACCCTAATTAATCCTATCCTCTTTTAACCTAACTATTCCTAACATAACCAAGCCCTAACCTTAATTAACATAGCTTAACCTAACCTAACCCTGCCCTGATCCTATTATCATCACTTAACCTAACCCGTCGCTAACCCACATTAACATCACTTAACCCAACAATTCCTAACCCTAACCCTTGGGGACGTCGGTGGCTGCAACTGTCAAGGTGTCGACTTACGACCTGTAACGTAAAAGTCCCGAGTTCAAATTCAGGGCCTCTTTAACTTACTGATATACTTTCAAAAACTGACACCCTGAGGGTTCACAAAACCTCAAGGTCGAAATACTCTCGTAAAATAACCTAACCCAACCCGTTCACACTCCCTGGTAGGGTGAAATCGATTACGCACAAATATTCAAGCAAAAAATTGTGTGTCCAGCCCAAAAACATATCCATGTTAAAATAAAAATTAAAACCATTGTTTAGTAACTTTTCTGACAGACCAAAACAGTGAGGATGGGTAGGCCAAATAAGAATAAACCCATCTACATATTAAGAATTACTTGTGTGATAATGCAAGCAATAATATAAATTTTTTATTGAAGTGGTATAATACATCATGGGCAGTATCGTGAACTTGTTCAAGCTATCCCACTGTTATATTGTCTATACTTTTTTTGTATAATAATTATAGTTTGCTGCTTACAGACAAAAATTAAAGTATTTTTTGTTTGTTTAGGTTGTTGTTGAAAGTATGACATCAGCAATTGAATATGGCCAAGAAGTTGTCAACGAGAGCTCTGCGGTTAATGCTGATCTGCATTTTGACTCCCAGTACATGCATCTGTATGTCATGACAGAAAAACAGGTATATGTTTATGTCAATTTCAAAAATTGACAATTCTTGAATTATTATCTGTTCTGTGATATTTTACTAATCTTACTTCCAGGTTGCGAAGGTTAAGGTACAGGATTGTAGTGTGTACAAAACCTGTTTAGATTGCCTCGGTGCTAAAGATCCTTATTGTGGATGGTGTTCACTTGAAAATAAGTACGTCGTAAATTTTATTTAACTTTTTTTGTTATGTTTTGTACTTGCTTGAATTAACGCATTGTAAAATTGGATTGGTGGTTGTAGTAATGCAATTTTCTTGGAATGTTTTTTTGTAGGTGTAGCCTAAAGAGTGATTGTCAGGATGCAGGGAGAGATGCCCTTTATTGGATCTCGTATAAAAGTGGCAAATGCACAACAATCACTTCCGTGTCGCCAAATGAACTGCAAAGAACAACTGCCAGAACAGTAAGCAATTTGTTGGTTTTTATTTACTACCTGAGAGTACAGTTTAAATTGTTGGTAACTTAAAGTTTGAAAAAGCTTAGCCACGTTCCACTGAAAGCTGCATCTAGCTTGGAAATTTGTGGTTGGTAGAAATCTTAGAACTTGAACTCCAAATACTTTGGATTAGACAATAGAAGACATTTGTTGTATGATGTTCCTAGTAGCTCGAATTATCCTTCCGGCAGATGTTCTCAAAGGCCAACCTGGACCTATAAAATTATGTTAAATAGAGAGAAAAACAAGATCTTGCTTTTCTTGAGGCACTCACAGTTGAACTCTTGTCAGCCAATTTGCATTAAAATGCTATGGTGGTAGATTCAGAAATACTTCCAGAGCAGAAGTCTCCTTCGGTCCCAAATTTTTGTTAACATGTCATGGCAGATAACTATTTACTTTGTATCTTAGATTCAAAGTTGCTCTAGTCATTAAAATCTCTGTACCGATTAACTTTTATTTTCATGGATCCTATCTCTATTCCATCGTAAAAAACTGTCTACCCATATAAAAATATTGTTTTGGTATTTTTTAAAAATTAAGATAATTTTCTATTATTTTTAGCTTGACCTAGCTATAGAAAATCTTCCTTCATTAAATGGACAATTTTTGTGTGCATTTACTGCATTGGACAAGACTCTTGTAACAAAAGCTACAAGAAAGCCTAACGGTGCTTCTGGTGTTAACTGCACCACGCCAAGAACCGACTTACTGCCATCTATACCACCTGGACAACGTAAGAATCGCATTTTGACATTTCAATTTTCAAAGATATAAACGTAATATTTTCTTTCTGTTTAGATCACTTTACAGCTAAACTTTCTGTGCGTATGACAACGGGACCAGACTTCGTTGAAACAGATTTTACGTTTTTTGATTGCAACACGTATGTATCATGTACGCAGTGCGTCTCTTCACCTTTTCCTTGCGATTGGTGTGTTGACGGTCATAGATGCACGCATGACACTGCTGAAAATTGCCGCAATGATATTTTGGTCACAGGAGTCAATGTAATTATCACAAGTGCCTTATCACCACAATATTACGTTGTTAATTATTTATTTATTTTTTAGCGCATCGGTCCAAGTTACAGAAGCGGTCCTGGTTTCTGTCCGACAATTAATGCAACAACTGGAGGCTCGACGGAAATTCTTGTTTCAGCTGGTGTCAAGAAAAGCTTAAGAGTCAAAGTTCATATTATCGGGGTAATGATTTTCAGTCCTAAATACCTGTAATTAAATACTTTCAAGAATAATCATTTTATTTTTTTTTTCCGTTATAGCAATTCATTGTCCAAACAAGATTTGTATGTCAGTTTAATATTGAAGGACGTGTTACAAGTGTAAATGCCAATATCTTGGGTGATATAATTTATTGTGAATCCATGGAATTTTCTTATACGTCGAGGGCTCCAAACATTACTGCTACATTTGCTGTGATATGGGGAGGTTCAAAACCACTGGACAACCCAGATAACATCCATGGTAAAGAAAAATCTGTATTATTTGTTTAATGTTAAGTTTTAATAATATTTGTATGATATTTTAATTGTTTTTTATTTTTTAGTTGTCATATATCGATGTCGAGATATGGCTGATAATTGTGGTATGTGCTTGGCCCTTGGGGAAAAGTTCGGATGCGGATGGTGCCAGAGTTCGGATAGATGTGAAGTCCAAGAGCAGTGTGACAGGAATGGAGGAGCAGTCTGGCTAAACAGAAACACAACATGTCCAAATCCCGAAGTGACGTCATTTTCTCCACGCCTCGGTCCCTGGGAGGGCGGTACAAATATAACCATAACAGGAATTAACCTGGGGAAAACATTCAAAGACATATATGGAGGCGTCAGTGTTGCCGGAATTCCCTGCGAGCCTTATGAGCATTTATACGTCAAAACAACACAGATTGTGTGTCGAGTCGATGGACCGGGAACACCGGAGGTACGAACAGGTCTGGTCGTCGTTAAAGTTGAAGATTTCAGGGGTAACTCGAAACAAAGTTTTGAGTTCGTCGATCCAGTAATCCACAGTATTTCGCCCAAATTTGGGCCCAAGTCTGGTGGCACTATGTTGAAAATTAGAGGCCAGTTCATGAATGCCGGAAGCTCAATTCAGGCATTTATCGATAATTTGCCTTGCAAAATTGTCAAGTGAGTTAAAATGGTTTAAAATAAACTTTAAAGTTAGTTTAAAATTACATATCTTCACTTATTATTTATTTATTCATTACAGAACTGAGTCTGCTGTGGCTTATTGTATTACGAGTGCATCAAAGAAGACCAAATCTGGACAGCTTCGAATGAAATTCGATAAAGGCGATCGACTACACGATAAAGAAAAATACGAATATGTTGAAGACCCTACAATTGACTCAGTGGAATCTGGAGTTACTGCTGGACAGGTATTTACAACCATTTTTAATTTTAATCATAAGATTTCTTCTAGTAATAAGTTGATTTTTAGTAACCACGAATGTTTAAAACTTTTAAGTTTTAAAATAATTTATCGTTAAGAAGTACATTTATACAAATATATTGTTTTTATTTTCAGATAAAAATTCCAAAAGGTATTCCCGCTGGTGGTATTCGAATATCAGTCACAGGAAAGAACTTGAACTGTGTTCAACAGCCACAAATTTATGTTATATACGACAACATTACTTATTTAAGTGTACGTACTTATAGTTAAATTGATTATTAAATGAAATTAAATAGAATAAAATTGACTTTTTTTTAATACAGAATTGCACGGCTCAATCCAACACGTCTATGCTATGTAGATCACCGAAAGTCAATATTCCGAGCAATTTGGAGCTTGACGCAGAAAACCCTCTACAGCTGGAATACGGCTTTAAAATGGATAATGTACTTGGTGTTCAGAATCTTTCACAACAGCATGGAAATTTCCTTCTATATCCGAATCCAGTTTACGACCGGTTTGACGAAGAAATTAAATATTACAAGTCTGATTATCTGACAATTAATGTTAGTAATAATTCCCTTATTTCGTGGTCTGCTTGACCAATTAATTTATTACAATTAATTCAGGTTTTTAGTTGAGATAAAAAAGTCAATGGCACGAGCGGGATTCAAACCCACGACCTTCGGCTAGATACGGCGCTGCTCTACCACTTGAGCTATTGTGACCTCGATCCACTCGGACATCAACTTCCTATCTCAACCCCACCTTATGAGTTTTCCCTCCTTTTTGCCATTTTTCAAATGTGTAATCGGATTGGATTCTCGACGGCAAATGAAATGGCCACGGAGAGCTTTAGTGAAGTATACTTCATTTTAATTCAGTAAATTCACTAATTTCGTGGTCCGCATGAACAATTAATTTATTACAATTAATTAAGTTTTTTAGTTGAGATAAAAACGTTAATTAATTGTAATAAATTAATTGGTCAAGCGGACCACGAAATTAGTGAATTTAATCTGATTACACGACATTTGAAAAATTGGCAAAAAGGAGGGAAAACTCATAAGGTGGAGTTGAGATAGGAAGTTGATGTCCGAGTGGATCGAGGTCACGATAGCTCAAGTGGTAGAGCAGCGGCGTATCAAGCCGAAGATCGTGGGTTCGAATCCCGCTCATGCTATTGACTTTTTTATCTCAACTAAAAACTTTAATTGTTTGTTAGTAATAATAATAATATTTATGTGTTTTATTTTTGTTAATTGTTAAATTTTCAATTCCAGGGGCAACATTTAGACAGGGCTTGTCAGGAACTCGATGTGGTTGTAAAAATAGGAAGCAGTTATTGTAATGTGACTTCTTTATCAAGACAGCAACTTACTTGTCGTCCACCAGTAGAGCAACCTCCAGTCGATGGTACTTTAGGCCTAAAGGGAGGCACTCTTCCTCAAGTTGTGGTATGTCAAAACGCACAAGTTTCTATAATCAAGTTTATTAATTTAATAATTAATTTTAGGTCATCGTCGGTGGAGATTTACAGTACGTAATTGGTCAGTTGAGCTACGCTTCACCTGCTGAATTAACTGGACCGCTAACTAAACCAGCAATTTTTGGTGTAATTGCTGGCATCGTTTTACTCCTCCTCATATTTTTTGCATTCTTAATAGCCTACAGGCGAAAATCGACAGAGAGCAATAGAGTCCTTAAAAACATGCAGGAACAAATGGATATACTTGAATTACGCGTAGCTGCTGAGTGTAAAGAAGGTACTTATTTTGTTTAATCTAACAAATCAATTTAATACTAATTTTTGTGTGTGTTTATAACAGCTTTTGCGGAGCTTCAGACAGAAATGACAGATTTGACTGCAGATTTAACTGCTGGAGGCATTCCATTTTTGGACTATCGCACATACGCGATGAAGATTCTCTTTCCAAATATAGAAGACCACGCTGTCCTTCAGTGGGAACGTCCTGAGCTAGCAAGAAAGGAAAAGGGCCTTCGATTATTCGGCCAGCTCATTTTAAATAAAACATTTCTTTTGTTATTTATTAGAACTTTGGAAAGCAATAGATACTTCTCTATGAGAGATCGGTGAGTAAATCTGAATATATGTATTATAAACATAGTTTTTATTTTTTATTTTTTCTTCATCAGAGTTAACGTTGCCTCCTTGATCATGGTTACACTTCAAAGTAAAATGGATTACTGTACTGATATATTAAAGACTTTACTCGCAGAATTGATTGAAAAATGCATGGAAGGGAAAAGTCACCCAAAACTCCTTTTACGCAGGTACTTTTGCGATTTTTCTTCGCTCTTTATCATTCGTGTTTTTTCTGTGTTGCTCATACTATATTTTTAAAAAAATAGGACTGAAAGTGTCGCTGAGAAAATGTTGTCGGCTTGGTTTACGTTCCTCCTCTATAAATTTCTGCGTGAATGTGCTGGTGAACCTTTGTACATGTTATTCCGAGCCATGAAGCATCAGGTGGATAAAGGACCAGTCGACTCGATCACATCAGAAGCGAGATATTCATTGAGCGAAGAAAAACTCATTCGACAGTCTATTGATTTCAAAACAATGGTAATTATAGAAATAAAAAACTGTTATAATAATAATGGATTTAATTTATGAAATTAATTTCCTATTTTTCCATTTTCAGACTGTACATGTATCAATTTCCCAACAGACAGTATTTGTGACAGGATTGGATCCTAACACAGAAAACGTTCCTGTTAAAGTATTGGATTGCGACACTATAACACAAGTGAAAGAAAAAGCTTTAGATACAATTTATCGTGCTACTCCTTATAGCCAAAGACCTAGAAAGGAAGAATTAGATCTCGGTATGCATTATACGGAAATCTTATACGTATAATAATGCTATTTACTTATACGTTTTATATTTTCAGAATGGAGAACAGGAACTTCAGGAAGATTAATTTTATATGACGAAGATTCAACTACAAAGACAGAAGGTGAATGGAAAAAAAGAAATACTCTTAATCATTATCGGGTAAATATAATTACAACTGTCACTAGTGATTTAAAAAAGATTATATTGTTATTAAGTATCAACGTTACAGGTACCTGAAAGTGGATGCCTAAATCTAGTCTCTCAACAATCAATTCCATCAAATCTTTCTATATTATCTGAAAAAACCGATAAAGGTCATAAGTACGAGACTTTGAACCTTTCTAAGTTTAGTTCTGCGAGTCCTCCATTAAGCAGAGCTACTTCTCCTCTCAACAACGACCACGACAGTGGATTGAAAGTCTGGCATTTAGTGAAACATCACGATTCTGATGCTCAAAAGGAAGGAGAAAGGGGCAATAAAATGGTGTCAGAAATTTATCTCACTAGGCTACTAGCAACAAAAGTAATTTAACACCTTTAATATTATATTTTAACTATTATCAAATTCTAATTCTTGTATGATATATTTTAGGGCACCTTGCAAAAGTTTGTTGATGATCTTTTTGAGACAATCTTTAGTACAGCACATCGTGGAAGTGCATTACCTTTGGCTATAAAATATATGTTTGACTTTCTTGATGATCAAGCCATTCAACATGGAATTACTGATCCTGAAGTGGTTCATACGTGGAAGAGCAATAGGTAAACATACCTACGCATAACCTACATTTTAAGTTTTGTTACAACGAACTAATTTTTTTAAATGTCTTTTTTAGTTTACCACTGAGATTTTGGGTTAATTTAATTAAAAATCCTAATTTTGTATTTGATATTCACAAGTCAAACATTGTTGACTCTTGCCTGTCAGTGGTCGCACAAACTTTTATGGACTCTTGTTCAACATCAGATCATCGACTAGGTTAGTGTGCACAAAATGTTACACTGATTTCATACTTTACTGTTGTTTTTTTTTGCTTTTTTTAGGAAAAGATTCTCCAAGTTCAAAACTTCTGTACGCTAAAGATATTCCTGTCTATAAGGAGTGGGTAGAAAGATATTACGCTGATATTAAAGTGATGCCTGCAATTTCTGATCAAGATATGGGTGCTATGCTTGCTGAAGAGTCGAGGGTAAAGATTTACATTTTTCTTAAATTTAAACAGTTTAACACGGCTAAGTTTAACAGGAGTCATCTTTACGACCTTACACGTTTTTTATCTGAGTTTCAATAAGCTCAAGGGTTTTTAAACCCATTTTTCAAATTTATCTCAACTGAAAACCTTAATTAATCGTAATATATTAATTGGTCAAGCGGACCATGAAATTAGTGAATTTAATGAATTAAAATGAAGTATACTTCACTAAATCTCTCCGTGGCCATTTCATTTGTCGTTGAGAATCCAATCCGATTACACAACATTTGAAAAATGGCAAAAAGGAGGGAAAATTCAAAAGGTGGGGTTGAGATGGGAAGTTAGTGTCCGAGTGGATCAAGGTCACGATAGCTCAAGTGGTAGAGCAGCGGCGTATCAAGCCGAAGATCGTGGGTTCGAATCCCGCTCGTGCCATTGACTCTTTTTATCTCAACTGAAAACCTTAATTAATCGTAATATATTAATTGGTCAAGTGGACCACGAAATTAGTGAATTTAATTGTTTAAATTATTCACATATAATGTTGTTTAAATATTCACATATAAATTATTAAATATAAATTTTAGATTTAATCAAAGTATTTATATTCACTCAAAGGGTTTGATTGAATCTAAAATTTCTTTCGTTTTATAAATTCACTTTTTCACATCTTCAAAAACTTACGTCACACCAGACCACATCTCACAATCTCCAAATAATCAATAATTAATGGTCACTAAATACCACACAAATATCAACAAAATTTTTTGCCTTAAGTAATGAGGGTTAAGATGGGAAGGAGTCAGCCGGGGCACTGCGACCAATATTAGTCTATTATGCTATCTCCATTTTGTCTAGAGCTCTTCATTAAGCGTGCAGGTTTTTATTAGATACAAAAATGTTGTTAAGGGCTACCGTGCTAAACTTCAAGCCTTGGCTTTTCCTCTCCTGGGATTTGGAATCTCTGCCTTCTCACCAATAGAGAGCATTCTGATTTTGCTTCTTTTTCCTGGAAATGTCTGTACAGGCTGCTCTGAGTCTATACATATGCTCTAGTCTGCATGCCTATTATACAATTTTAACCAATTATTTGATGTACATTTGTTTTTGGCAATTTGGTATTCTACAAAAGAGTTTAGGTAATTAAATTTTGTTAAATTATAACTAGTTGTAACTAGTAGTAGGGTGATATCATTGACAATCTGAGAAACTGCTTAACACGGTACCTGGTACCTACTTAGAGACCATAGGGACTTGAAAGTCAGTTCAGGCCACCTTAGATTATGAACCTAAGAACCTCAAGGTGTATAAAACCACCTGGAATGCGATACTTTAGGAATATTGAAATACCAACCTCAGAAATCAGTTGATAGACAAGAAAACCCTAATAAAAGCATTTGAAGTGCTCAAAATTGTTTTATGGTTCTCTGGTCTTGGGTGAGAAAACGCACCAAAGCCGTACTGCTCATCAGGGCCTAAATGCACTTTCGGTGGGTTCAGGTTTAGTCCCTTAGCTTTTCTGCAAGCTGGAAGGTGCTTCTGCCCAAACTTCCACAAGATCAGCTTTCCCTCAGTGGAATGATTCATTCATATTAGAACTAAAATGGTACAGTTAAAAAGGTTGGGTTAGAAGGTAAAAAGATTGCTGCATTTTCTGACAGCCAGGCTGAGCACGAAGTACTGGATTTTGGGTGTCCTGGGGGAAGCAGATAAAGAACCAATTGTACCTTTGCCTTGGGTATACTCTAGTATGCTTTGTTGTACCCAGGGCAAGATCATTGCCATGTAGGGTCAAGGAGGTTCTATGATAATGTGCTACAAACATAATTAAAAACACTTTAACTTACAAAACAGAAATATATCAATTTGTTTTTTTGTGTGTGTATTTTTTAACATACATATTAGTATTTAGAGGGTAAGAGATGTCAATAATTAAGTCCCTCTCTTTTTTTTCTTTCAGCTCCATTCTTCAGAATTCAACACAAACTGTGCTCTTCATGAACTTTATACATATGCAATGAAATATAATGAACAGTTAACTGTGACCCTAGAAGAAGATGAATTTTCACAGAAACAACGGCTAGCTTACAAATTAGAGCAAGTACACAACATAATGATTGCAGAAACGCATCAATGAAGGAAGGCAGATTACGTCTGCATATAGTTTGCTCAATCGTCAGTTAGGGACAAGGAATCTTCCCAGAAGTGCCTCAGTAGTGTTTCTGCTGAAACATAGTGTGTGTGTACAGTGATGCCATGTTATACCACCGAGACATAAGTCTGAGAATTTATCTTTATTTTTGGCATAGATAATTCATTTCCTATACCTACATATCTCAACCACTTATGGGACACAAAGTGATGAGATTTTTTTCTCCAAAAGTACAGTGAACTTGTAGGCAATTTGTAAAAAAAAAAGAAAAAGATAGATAAATTCTCAGTTTTTTGCTGAGATATTGTTCATAAAGAATTGGTGGTCACAAAGACGCTTATGCGAGAAAAAAATTTTTACCTTCCCTCATCCCTGGTTGTGACACCTTCCCTTACCGTATTTTATATATGTACTTAACTGTTGAATGTTTTGTATTTCCTGTTGTACAATTGATGTTATTTATAATGTGCTTAAACAACCATATCGAGTTATTAATGTAATATCTTTACAAATTTTAACCGTTGTACATGCTGCATAAACCTTGTGAGTAATGTTACTGTTTTAACATGCTCCACCCTTCTAGTAAGGCAAAAAAAAAAAAAACACACACAATACCATGAATGTCATGGTTTATTCTATAAAAAAAAATAATTAGCAATAAAAGTTCCAAGCAGATTGTACAACTCAAACTCGTGGGGAGTGTTTCTTGTGAAATGAGTTTTGATGTATGTCAATTGACTGATACCGAGATAATAATTGGGAATTGATATATTGAATGTTTTATCGTCGTGTAATTGTTGTATCCCTGCAAGGTCCTTTGTGATACCATTCTTAATACCTTATCTTGTTGCCTCGACACTACAATTATACACACTAATCTAAATGTGCGCTGTGTAATTTATGTTGTGCCACAGTTGACTCATAATTATAGCAATAATTGTTTTTTCGTGTGTTAATATGCTTTCTAACTTCAATGTAATGATCAATTTTGCTCAGAATATTTCATTCCTTTAGAAAATCGTGTTTCGACAATACAATCATTGTTATAATTTTATATTATTTATGTATGCATATTTATTATATTTAGATATATGTTATATTATTTTGTATACTCAATATTATATTAAAAAAAAATTTGGGCTTTTTTTTAAAAGAAAATAACAGTCATGAACTATGTTGCATACATGTACATTTTTTATATATGTAGGAGAAACCTACTTATAAAAGTACACATTATGTAAAAAAAAAATTATAAGAAAAAAGAGGCAAATTGCTTGTTACCAGTAAACAAATTCTTACTCACGACTTCTTAGCTTATTAATTTTTTTTTAAAATTTGTACATACTTTATTTGTGAATATTTTAATGAGAGTTTTATTATGGAGGGTAATCAAATAAAGGAATGAATCTTATATTTTTTTAATTCATAAGTTCAGTAAAAATTAAGTTATTTGAGTAAATTTGTATTTAACAAAAAATTGCTTTATAAGGTATTCACGGTAAATCAAAATTAAGAAAAGTGGTAATGAATTTTTCTGAATTATTCATTCCGTCCAGTTTTTTAATTTATCAACAAAACATAATTAAAAATAAGATATTCTGAATTTGTTTGATTAACCCTCTTAATTATTTATTTTGTAATTACTCGAATTGCCATATTTTGAAGCACTGATTTTTTGTTTCACGTGTTTTAGTTCCTGTGTCCATGCTTGTGTAAATAAATTGTACTTAAAATAAGTGATGATTTAAAGTGTAAATAATTTACTACATTTCAAGGCATGGTTCGAATGAAATGCTTTATAAAACTGCTAAAACGAGTGTTGATATATTAAATTTATAAATGTCTTAAGAGGGAAAAAATAAAGAAAATATATTTTACACGCACTCTGATTAAATAAAAGTAATTGGATTTTTCCCCAAAATTATTGGAATTTTTTTCTGTACTCAAATATAAATGAAGATGCAGAATCAACATCCTTGTAATGCTTAAATTATTTATATTCTTATTGTCATTTAATTTCAGTCTAATATTTTAAGGATTTATGAGAAAAACTTGAGACATTTTCTTACCAATGGGGTACATTCAGATAACTATGTCCAGTCTCAAATTAAATTTATGTAAGAGTTAAAAGGAAATTTACTCAAAAGTATTTTGAAGCATATATTTTTTTATGTATTAGATTCTCTGTTTATTTTCTAAATTTTTTTTTACATTTATCCTTATAAATTAATCAATTTTATATGCTTATACTTTATTCATTCCTTATTGTATGTATTTTAAATGTATTTAAAGTTCATTTTTGATAATTTATTTAATGATGTTGCAATAAACATTCCATTATAAATTAACATTGATTTTTTTTTCAATTATCAATGTTTAAAAAAAAATTAAATGAACAATTGCAACAGGAAAAGTAGTTTTGTAACTATTTTTTTTTGTGAAAATTTTAACAAAATAACATCTTATTTCAGAATCTTATTAAATTACGGGTATAATGTAAATGTTTTTTTTTTCCTTAAAAAATATACTGTGGTGTACATATTAAAATGTCGCACCCCCAAATTTTATTATTACCTACAATAAATATTCAAAATTATGTATACACCGTTAAATTTAACAGGGAGGAAAAGGATGTGCGTGTATTTACATAGTATAACATCACAATTAATTTCTACCATTTATATTTTTGTGGTATGTTCTTTTTTTTAAATTTCATTGCATTGTAATTTACGAAGCAATTTCTTTTCTAAATTGAATTAGTTGATTCAAACTAAAAGTGTCTTGATTATATGCTCAATTTTATTTTTTTGTTTAAAATTTTTCTTTAAAAAAAAACTATCCTGAATTATATAACTTGTGCGAATATTTTCATGTATGCGTTTTAATTATCGAAATATATCTCGTTCATGTATTCCGCATTTTTTATAATGTAAGTAGTTGTATATAATATAATACCTCAATCTAAAAATGTATGTTAACACTAATTGAAACGATTAGATAAAACATTGTACAATTTTCCTCGATACTTTGTCCAAATGTTATTCTCAACAGTCCATTAGTGTCAGACTTTGACAAATAAATGTTAACTGTATATCACAAGTAACTTTTTCCCATTAAATGTATATTATAATCTATATGTATCACAAATAAATGGCATGCTGTGAGTTTGAGTAAACTGGACATAGTTTTTTTTTTTTTTTTTTAATTTTTAATTTTTTTTACAACTGCATTCTTATTTTCCACTGTCATATCCAATTTAATTACTGAATTCCTTTTTGTTGAGTGAAAAAAATTGTCCTCAGCCCTTTTGTGTAATATAATCTATACATATATATATTGTAACTATGCTTACCACAATAAATGTCTACACTATTATATTAAAAATGACTGCAAGTACCCCACACTTGTGGAATTTAAAATGAATAATTAAATCAATAAGAAACTTAAAAAAAAAGTAGAAATGTATTAGGCTTTCTCTCGTATACACAAATAACAGTTTCAAAAGTTTAACGAATATTTCAACTTTATGAAGGAACTCAGTGGTTAAGTTGTTAATTGTGTGTAGTGTGACGCTCTGAATGTATGTTGATGTCTTCCAACTCCCCCCCTTTCTACACTTGTTTTTTTTTTTACGCATGTGAAAAGTTTCACATTCCACTGGCGGCAGCGTTTTGTATCGCTAGTGTTTGCTGTGGTCGGTGTAATAGTTAACCCCTGTATGTTTCAAATCGACACAATTGATCGAGGACCAAGTCGATTCAGTGTGATTCTAACTAACCTCTCTATTAAATACGTACGTGTTTAATATATATAAATATATATATGTGTGTGTGTGTTTGTGTGTGTACATAAGTGTATGTATTTATGTATGTATGTCGATGCTTTCCAAGTTTATGGTTTTACAAGTGAAACACTGGTCGGTGCCCAATTTAGATTCTCTTTTATAATAACTTGTAAATATATATAATTATGTAAATAATTATAATCGTCTTGGAAGTAGATAAATGAATTGCTTCCAGACATTCAATCTTTTTGATGTAATATGTTGTACACCATATCAATATTTAAACTAAATGTTAAATGTATTTTTATTTGCTATATTTATTCTATTTCAAAATGAATACACATATAATACACACACAAATACAAGATTTATTATAATAGATATATGTATATCATTCAGTGTCGTGTCACCATTTAAGGTGTAATAAGCAAAAAAAAAAGAAAAAAAATTTCTCAACGAATAATTTTAAGTGTAAAACCCTTTAATTGTAAGATAACTTTAAAAAATAACAAAGGCTGTATTTTTAGTTCCCATTGTGATAATGTGTGTTGGTTGTTGGGCTAGGACCATCTCAACCATTTCTTTTCTACTGACTTGCCAAAACATCAGTTGCAATGCACTTGTAAATATTATAATTTGCTTAAATCTATGTAATGTATGGAGTGTCCATTCATTTATAATATACTGAATCTGTTCGTACCCCTCCCCTCCCAAGAACTAATATCATTTGACTGTAAGCTCAGTGTTTTGTCACTAAACTATGGCATTTTTTCATAACAATGTTGTTTTTATTCTAAACCCTTGGACTTCAATTTTTATTTTCTGGAATTATACTTTTGATAATTATGATAATGACTAAATCAGGATGTGTGATAATTTATCTGTTCAATTATTTATTGAAATATAAACAAGTATTTTATTATAAAAAATACTATAATAAGGAAAGCGCACTATGGCACTGGATTAGAAGGAAGGAGACAGTGGTGTCCGAGTACAATCTGCATCGGACTCTTATTTTCCACGGTTGCAGTTCTGGGTTCAAATCCAAGTAGACCACTGGTTTTTAATTGATAATGGTATGAAAAATGTATTGTTAAATGTTTTGACTCCTTGTACATGACACCAAATGGGTAGTTGCACGTTAAGCCCTCCTGTATGACAAGAATTACTGTACTACAGCATGGCAATGGTTTATTACATTTTTTGCCACCCCCTTGATGTGCTGATCCTAGAGTTTATACCTCAAGGGAGTTTACCTATCCCGTTATGCAGCTACATCGCTAGTACATCACTTAAGCCAGATGCTCAGGAGACCGTCGCTTCCTAGCCAATTTTCTTATTTGCAGCAAGTCAGCCTAGCTTTGAAAACCAATTTTTGGTCCTCAAATGGTGTATCTATTGGAACTCTTGAGCTCAGGAGCATAGACTCTAAACCGCAGAAGGATCATATTAACCTGATACAAAATTGGTAATACACAGTTGACACACAGCATACACAGAGTGCTGCTTGATGGTCCCACTTAACTGAAGTTCTTACTTGGCTCCATATAGAAAACGAGTAGGAATGCCATCTGATATGAGAATTGTGAGAATGAAAAACAAAAATTTCCTGGCTTTGACAGTATCATGAACATTATGATGAAAAATGGGCACAACAAAGGACAATGTACTGCTTACATACTTGTTAATTGGCATGCTACCTTCTGGTTATTTCCCCTAAACCTGTAAAATGTCTAAAATAATTTTTGACAAAAAATTAAGTAAACCACCAAGTCGTTTCAATTCCATAATTGTTTTTTAAAGAAACAAAATTACACTA